AAAAAAAAAAAAAAAAAAAAAATTCAGCAAAAAAAGGAAAACAATTCAGCATGCAGCTCGAAGCTACTACATTTGCATGTTTATGAAAATAACAATAAGAAAGCCTAACTTACTAGGATTCCACTTTTGTGCTATAGAGCATTTTCACGTGACATCACAGTGGCCATCTTGGTGTACCAAAACAGTATATATTCTATCCTTTGGGAATTGAACTCTATATTTATGCAAAAACTGTGCAGAAAGTTTCTATTGTTTGTTACACCAATGTGGCTGCCTTGTGACGCGAGTGAAAACGCTCTGTTCTAAMTTTTGGACACATTCAAAGAATCATAGACAATGTCTGAATCCTTTGAAGCATGCCAAGGAAAGCATGATGATAAATTTTTTTTGGTTAATAAACAACAATTTGGCTTGTGCAAATGGGCCCTTTTTGAAATGATTATAATATAAAAAGTTTAGTATTTTTGAGTTACAAAGTATTATTGCTATTTTTTTCAGTATTTAAAGTGTGTTTCAAAAATTTTTGGTTGCCCATTGTATTACCCCCATTTTCATAATTGTGTCTAATGCAGTCTACAACATCTGTGTTTTTGGCTCCCATAAAAAGTCCATTTCAGTTCAATGCGTTATCTTGAAAGGTAGCTATGCACTTTTTTTAATAGCTTGGACAATAAATTATTCATGTCTCTATCATTGCAAGCTCACCTTTCGCCTTGCTTTGATGCAACGGCTCGGCTACCTTTCGAGATGGTGCAGGGAACTGTGCAGGGGAATATTTAAAAAACTTACTCAAGCTATTGGAATGGCTCTATTTCACTATGACGTCACTACTTGTTTATGTGGGGGATAGAATCGCCAAATCCAATAGAAAATTCAACAAAATTTGCTCCTGGCGAAACAGTTTAATCTAAAATGGCCTGGTTTTCAGATATAATGTGTTAATATGTGTTCAGATTTGATCCCTCCGACGACCATGATCCTTTGCGTTTAAACAATAGATTGTTTTGATGTGACGTCATAGTGAAATAGGGCAATTCAAAAGGTGGAATGTTGCATAAGTACTGACATTGGTAACTAAGTCTGTTGCTTGAAGATCATTTTATATTAATTATTGCTTATCAAAATAAAAACTTCTGGTTTTTTTGGACCCTCTTGCAGTCGTGTCTTGGTATATAGTAACCCTCAGGCCTAAAAATAACAGGTAGCAAGAGAATATGAACAAAGAGAAGGAATCCTACCCATATAGCCTTGTAACCATCATGTGCACAGTTTGATGCTATTTTTAGCTTGGAGATATTTTGAGCGAAGAACCYGATTGGTTGATTTCTTGAGGGTAGGCGGCTTCCAGTCTTGCAGTAAACAAAAGCTGTTTCTGTAGTGGATGTAGCGAAATATGGCACTTTTCGTGTCCTTTCGTGGCATTGAAGGGAAGCATGATTATTGAGTGGGTATGGTAGCGAGTTAAAAATAGCTGATTCTAAAAATAGCATCATGGGGCACGGGGATTCCTTCTCTTGGTTCATTTTCTCTTGCAGGCAGTCATTGGCCAAAATTGGAGCTTGTCCATTTAGAAACATTAACCAGAAATAAGGCTGAGCTAATTCAGCAAAAATTTTTTTAAAAATTGGCAGTTTAGTTTTTGACATTTCCAATCATAGGCCCTTCTTAAAAGTGTTGTGGATGTGAGGATAACATGGAAATATGAAAGAAATCACACTTTTTCTCGATGGAATTTGTGGCATTTCTTTTGTATAATTTCCACGTTAAGCCTCGCATACAAGACAATTTTAACAAGGGTGCAATACTAGATCAAACCAGTGGCATGGGATATGTCCTGGGAATGTCCCAGGACACTTCTGATGCTGTTTTCAAGCACCCAAGAGAGATATCACCTTTCTCTGGCTCTTTAAAATGGCATCAGAAGTCAGTCTGCTATTGAAAACAGCTTACAAAACGAGTAGTCTACTGTATTTGCAGGCTACCCATGGGAAAATTAGTCCTGCGGGGTTCGGTTCGGATTCCTCCAAACCCCGCAAGACTTCTGCAACGGAGGCTATGGGAAAATTGCATTAGCAGTGAACCTCACCCTTGGAAGTTCCTTAGGGAGAGAAGTATGCTAACTTACTCTTTTTTACTAACAAATATGGTTTATTATACTAATCATCGTTATACTGTATATACTAATTACATTCTTTAGAATTAAACTTGTAAGTCATTATAAAAAGGCTAAATGTTGCAAGAGTATTACATTTTGTTTRAAGAAAGAAAAAGAGCTGAGCTGAAGCATTGAAACAATCAGCAGAGCAAGGTAAACTTAGGATAATGCAACTCTTTGCCTTGCCTGTTGTTTTGAACAGTACACTGGGCCTAAGAATGAGGTATGACTTCGATAAAACTAATATTACAAAACCTAGTACAATGTACTGGTCAATGAAATTTTATAAAACTCAACTCTGTTCAGGCTAGAAGCAATTTACACGACAAAAAAATATAGTACATAGTTTACACTATACACCGCTGCATGCTTAAATCAATATCTTAAAATCATATTTACAGTTAAATCAGCTCATTTTCTATTATTGGAAGTTGGATTTCCATCTTGCTTTGAAGCTTGCATTTAATGAAATGAATGTTGTAAATTTCAATCTCAGTCTTTCATTGCCTCGAAGCATCAAAATGTTCATTTGTGAAAGGGTTTTTTGAACAAAACTGCACACCAAACAAATAACTTTTAAAATGGTAGCTACAAATGCTGAAATAATTTTGCATGAATCTGTGAAGAACTAAATAAACTTTTAATTCGAGCCTAGAATTCAAATTAGCAACGTTCGTTTTATTAATGCAAGCTTCAAAGCAGGATGGAAATCAAACTTCCAAATAATGAAATGAATCTTGGAACCTTGATAGGAACGCATGAGCTGGTTTGACTATGACAGAAATAAAAAGATGATATAATATTGTATTTTTTACATTAGTATGTAATATTGTACAGTAAAAATACATTATCATACTAATAATAGTGCTTATTTGTTTAACTCCTTTAGTTTATCTTTCTCATAACGTTCCACAACAGTTTTTGCATATTCTATGGAGACAAAGGATACCATTAATATCATAGTCAATTTAAAATAACAAGATAAAAATGGAGTTTGCTTATCTACTCTATCCTCCTTCCAAAGCTTGGAAGAAATAGGGAAGATTTAGTTCTAAAAAAATAGCCCGTGTTGTGGCTCAAGGACAATCCTTTACCCAGAGCCCAAGTGGCAGCAGCGTACCAATGCTGACCAAGAGGAACATTGGGTTTGGGTACGCGATTGACTCAAGGATACCCTGCTTGGCAGAGGTTCCCTCATTTTTCCAGATCTGTGCAGAGGTTTTCTTTCCTTCTCTTTAGAGGGGAGTAAATAAGGAAACCTCTGTTATGCAGGGTAACTCAAGGAGAGCAGGGAATAGAAAGCCGTGGTCAGAGAAAGTGGCAGCCTGGTATTCCAGAAAATTACAACTTGATTACTTCACTAGGTTTTATTATTTTATTATGATAACCACTGGAAAAAAACAACAAAAAAAACAAACACACACACATGCACCCAAAAACAACAACAAAAACAAGATGAAAAAACCACTGAACCTTACCTTTTTTGTTTTTCCATAGCTCAGCTGCTTGAGCATTAAGAGGGCTATCTAAATTAGGATCTATGTTAAAAAAAAGATATCATATGAGAAAGAAATGAGAATCTAATTCAATGATATTTTTATTTTTATATTTTCTATAAGCTCTGCACAAATGACCTTTATTGTGTTCCCTAATCTTTTTTCCCCCACTAGATTTCATTTTTTTTAATCCCTACAATTATTAGTCTTTACCTGCTAGTAGACTTTGGATGGATAACAACACTAATCTAACATTATATGAGGCACTCCATTTTTCCTGCACATGTTAAAAAAAAAAAAATGTTAGAAAAATATTCTTTCATGAGCTCAGTCTAAGTCAGCGCACGGCTAACTACTCACAGGTTGAACCATAAAACAACCTCTGTACTGATTTAAGTCAGGGCATGGCTATTCACAGATAAAACATTCTCTTGGCTGATCTCTGTCAGGGCATGGCTTAATAAACCCTCAGATTGAACCCTGAAACAACCTCTGGGCTGATCTAAGTCAGGCTAACTTTCATGTTCGTAATGTACTAAAAGACATCAGAGCAAAACCTTTCAAAGCCAGGTGAGGCTTAAACTAATTTATATAGACCTACCTTGAGTATATCTAGACATATATTTCCCTGTGTATCGACATTAGGATGGTAACATGGCGTGCTGAATTTTATAGTTGGGGGTTCATAGGGATATTTCTCAGGGAACTCTATGCTCAACTTATAATCTAGTTTATCATATACCTGAAAAAGGAAAAAATAGAATTAATTTTAAACCGTAAAAAAGTATCTAAAAAAACAAGGCAAAGAGTGAGAAAATCTTGAAGAAAACGTTTGGAAAGCATTGTCTGTTGTTGTATTAATTTTACCGTTCCCTGGCCTCCTTTGATTGTGGCTGTCCAGTGTCTCATAGTGTCGTCAATAGGAAAAGCAGACACAGAACTATCTCCCTAAAAAAAGCAATGACGACAATAAAATTTTAGCATAGTTTTACCAGTAAAAAATTTAACTCAATTCCAACGATATAGTAGTCGATACATTTGTGCTGAAGGCTTCCGGTCCTAGCTGAACACTTTTTTGCAATTAAGTCTAGAAAATTTGCGTGAAAAAGAGAAAAAGAATTTGTTAAGATTATGTCTTTCTTACCTGTGACATAAGTTCTCTTAAATCACTGAAAAGTCTAGATAAAATAAAAAGCAAATAGAGCTGAGAATGAAGAAATCAAATGTACAAACTGTCTCTTGATCAGATGACTTCGAACGATCATATCCCCCTAAATTATATCCACTTTTGCCTAAAAAAAGCCTGATCTCCCAAAACACATACCTCGCAGCCATCTTCGTGTAGATATATTGCTCGTTTTACAAATAAAAGTTGTAATAGTAATATTGATTTCGTTGGAGAACCTTCTTGACAAGGAAAAGAAAGAACACTCAATCGTACGACGCGAAAAATTTTAAAACCAGCGCTTTTATGAACTGACCAATCAGAATTGAAAAATAGAGAAACTTTACCCAATCAGAATCAAGAGATTTGAAAGAGTGGACCAATCAGATGGGAGAGAATTTTGGTTTCCAAGGATACGAAGTTCCCAGAATCCTTTGAGATGGGAAAGGTTCCCATGATGCTTAGCGAGTAAAAAGTCGTCATTTTGAATTTTCGAAGATTTGATTTTGGTTTTTGATCGTCTTTTTCGAAGTTATATTCTTATTTTACCATGCCTTACGCCAACCAACCAAGCGTTAGGATAACAGAACTAACAGAAGAAAATGTCAAATTTATTATCGAGAATACAGACTTGAGGTAAATCAGGAAAATATCTTAAATTTTCATGTCTTGAAATATCCCGAGTAAAAAATGCGTGTAATTTTTATTATTTTATTTTCTTGAGGTTAATATAGTTTAAGTATCTTGCTTTAAGGAGTATTTTGTATTTATTTCAGTATGGCAAATGGTCTAAGAAGGATATTCATAGCTGAAACACCGACTCTAGGTAAGTAATGGTATCTTTGGGATCCCTGTGTATTTGCTGTCATTTGCAGATATCTACAACAATCAATCAATGGTTATTTCCCGGCGTATTCAATCGAACGAAATCAAACGTTTGATATCGAATCCAATCGAAACATTGGATTCCATTATTTTCGGCTATGAAATAAAATCAAATTTACACAAAAATTGGAGCTAATCGAACAAATCGAACATTCAAATATGTTTTATTTTAATTTAGGATTAATAGGATTTGATTATGTTTGATTGAAATCAAAAGCAATTGAATTCACAATATTTCTAGCATTTGATTTCGTTCAATTGCAATCGCATCCAGCCACATAATTCCGTTTGATTGAATTTGATTTCCGAATTACTCAATTGATTATGCGGGTCATTGTTGGAAATCAATGACCAATGGATGGAACACAATTCGTAATGTTATCAATTGGTATTGCTTGCTAAAGGAATGAAATCCAGGTCAGTGGGCATTTCCCGATCCCTGTGTCACTCGATTATATTCACCAATCAATCATTGATTACCACTGTTTTCATTTCTATACGCTGATCTTGACAACAGTTGCAACAGGCTAGCTACCATCAATCAAGCAAATTGTTCATATGTACCTTTACAGGTACTCTAGTGACTCTATAAACATAATGGTTAATTTGATTGACGGCTGTGTATTACCTGATTTCCCTGTBGCGACTATTGTCTAGATCAGCGTGTGGCAATGAAAACAGTGATAAGCAATAACAATTGATACAAGTTAGCTGATTATGTTTATTGAAATTGATTTATCATTTGGATTTCTACCATTGATTGAAATAGATTGAGTATACACCAGGTATAAGTTTACGTAGTTGTTTGGGTTAGGGGTTGGTGTCATATATTTTAGGGGTTGGGTTGGTGTGGGAACCTTGAAGGGAACACTATGTCCTATTGTTCCCTCACCAATACATTTTTCTGTACGAATCTTTAAATAAGTAAATAATAAATAAATATAACTTTAGATAGGTTTTCAACAATATATTTTTTTTGTTGTTTAGCAATTGACTGGGTACAAATAGAAAACAACACATCAGTACTTCATGATGAGTTTATTGCTCACAGACTTGGTAAGTGTAAGATATTATCAGATACCTCAGTATCACATGTTTAATATTTTCAGTATTGACTCTACATGGAGTGAATAGTTGAATGGTGAAATATTTTTATATGATTTGAGTGATGCATTTTGGAGATATCAAGGTTTATACTTTCAATATGGTAATGATGTAATGTGCGACACCTAGCCCGTGATTCAAACCTAGGTGCCATAGAAGAGATTATGCTGTACACTTTCTTCTTATTTATGTTTGTCAGCCCACTCAAGTCTAGTGACGGTTTTGACTTCATATTATTTATATACTGAAATTGTAACGTAATGTGGGACAACTAGCCAGGGATTCAAACCCAGGTGCCATAGAAGATATATTCTTATTTATGTTTGCCAGCCCACTCAAGTCTAGAGTTTTATCTTGTTGTTATATACTGAAATTGTCAATTCTTCAGGTCTTGTGCCATTAACCAGTGATGAAGTCGTTGAAAGGATGAATTTTTCAAGGGTAAGCTAACAAGTCTGTTGATATTCTGATTAGGATAATTTAGCACCTATAATTAATATTAAAGATACAATTAAAGAACAGAACACTAAAGGGTTTCAAGAGCGGCATAGTGAAAGCAAGTACACTCACCTCTGAAGAATTTGGTCAGTTGTTCAACTCCTGGATTTAGCATCATACTTGAGCTGTTTGTTAGGTCTCTCCCTTGATAAGAGTGGTCTCCATAGTTGTCCCCATACATGTTACAAGCATCTCTCGCTAACAGTCACAACAGGTCATAATCTACTTTTTATACCAGTGTCCTAACTAACGACATATGAAATGGGATTTACATTAATGTATTTATTTTGTTTAACAGGACTGTACCTGTGAAGAATTCTGTGTTGACTGTTCTGTTGAATTCACTCTTGACGTCAAGTGTACAGATGATCAGACAAGACATGTTACCACAAGGGATTTGATCTCATCTGATGGTAGAGTTATTCCTGTGAGTTCATTTACATTGGTAAAAGCCAATGATGTACCTCATGGACAAGTTTTTTTACACCATGTGATCAAAATGCAGTCACGTTTTGAACACATGGTGTAAAAAAAACTTGTTCATTATCCACTCCCGATATTGGTCCCAAGTCCCTACTATTGGGATCTCGAAGTGTAACAGTTTAAGTTAACCATGTTGGATTAAAACCTAGTACGAGAATACCCACATTAGTCATTTATTTCGTATGTTACTGACGCAGCTAATGTTACAGAAGGCGATAAAAAAATCACARCTGCCTTGGTCTGCTGGGAAGAGTAGTACGTCTATTGTGAAAAAGGCTGTTGAAGGTTGTATTATTGCATGTTACCAAGCCTGAAATTCACATTTAATGAAATATTACATTTCAAGCTTAGTGAACAACATTGCAACATGCTTGCAACAAAACCTTCACCAACCTTTATTTTCAAATAGCTGTATTCCTTTTCCTTTCCCAGTTTTTCCTACCGCTCACTTTCCCTTCTTGCGTCCTCTATTCAACTCTAACTTTCTTTTAACTAAATAAAAAGAATAAAGTTCCATGGTAAATGATGCTGTTTCTTCTATATATATCGTTATACAGGTTACATCAAAGCACAAGGAAGATGAAAGTAGCGAATATGGCGAACGAGATGGTAAGAGTCTTAAAATATTAMGGGTTTTTGAATCATAAAGGGAATAAACTAAGAATAGAAAAATGCTACAAGATTATTTAATTTATGGCAATAATTAAGGACGTATGCATTAATGAAAAATTATTTTCTATACAGTAACAATTGAAAGTAAAGTAAGTCTCACCAAGGGAGCATAATAACCTGTGCACCATGTAAATTCCCGGTTGGGCTATTTTTAGTAACTGTATGCAGTTTAAATATCACCTTACCCTACTCCAGTGCGTCATCAAATTACGCAGGCGTGCTTTTTCCGTTTATCGTTTTGATAGCTAAGAATGAAACGGAAAGGGTTGCGCACGTAATTTGATGACGCACGGGAGTAGGGTAAGGTGAAATTTAAACTGCATCCCGTTACCAAAAATAGCCCAAATGGGAATTTACATGGCACGTGCATTATTAAGAAGTTTCCCTCTTTTATTTATGCTATCTTGGTCTCATACATGCAATGCCGTGATGCAATCACACAATTAAAAGTTCTCTATACATGTATTGTATTATTATACGAGGTTTTTTACGGTTTGGAGCACTACCTGGAAACGACTTCTAAAAGATATCCATATGCGACAATAGCTTCTGGTCACCATGGTTATGCAACAGTAAACAACTATAAAAACTCTGCACTTATTATCATACCTCATTCTGATGAAGACTACCACAGAGTAGACGAAACATCAAAAATGTTTTCAACACATCGTGCTTCAAACCGTAAAAAACCTCAAGTATAATCTATATGGAACACGAAAGCCTCAAGAATACCATGTATTGTATTATATTTTTTAATTTCCTACAGATATACTGATAGTAAAGTTAAGAAAAGGACAAGAGTTAAAGCTTAGAGCTTTTGCAAAAAAGGTATTAAACTGTGAAAAAAAAGCAAGAACGATCACAAGGTTATAGTGTTAAAAAATTTTCTCATTTAAATAGACCTGTATGCAATGAGAGAATTGTAACTGCCTACCTGGGCCCAATTCTGTTATCCAATAAACTTGTCTACTGGATAAGATTTATCCCTTGGATAGCGCTATCCAGGCTTCGTACTACCAGGCCCAGAAATATATTGCACCAAGGGCAGATCTAGGGGGAAGGGGGGGCAAAGGGGGGGGCTGAAGACCCCCTTCAGCAGAAAAACAAAACAAAACTGAAGAATTAGATGCTTTTTTTATTGTTTTCCGTTGTGTTGACGGAAGAAACTCAATTAGCCCCCCTAAATTCAATTAGCCCCACCCCTAAAATTTTGGCTGRATCTGCTGTCGTGGACAAATCAATAAAGCAAGGTGACAAAACCTATTCACTGTTAAAATGGTTGGCACATTAACATGACAATGAATATGTTTATGAACACTACATGTACGTCCACCTATTAATCATTTAAATATAATACTTTTCTTACAGGGTTTTGCTAAGGAACATGCTAAATGGAATCCCACGGCTGGTATTGCATTTGAGTATGACCCAGACAATGCTCTACGACACACAACCTATCCCAGACCAGAAGAGTGGTAATTACTTAAATATTACATTGTGTACATAGTTTCAGAAAATATCCATATTCCCACCACAAAAGGAATTTGTAAAAGGACCCACCTACACCCAGGAATTTACAATTTTCTTCCATACAAACTCTGTAATTTTGTTCTTTCTCTGACCCCCTCCCCTACAGAATTTTCAATTTCTTCTGTGTTAGAGCTAGTCAATCTTATGCTATCTCTTCTCTGGGGTCTTGGGCTCAATTCCTGGACTTGGTATCATGTATACACCTATTTCAAAAAGTGTTGTCTGCCTGACATCTGAAAGAGGCGATCTATTAGACTAAACAGAATTTTTGTGACCTTATTGTTTCTGGCTAAAATACAAAATTATATTTCTAACTCTAAGATCATCATACCTCATACCAATCTAAAAGGWAACTACTGTACGTTGTTCGGCTGTGAATATATCAAGATTTGAAGCAAGGTGTACTCGGTCTAAGATTTGGATTTCAGATCTCCAACTGACAATGTTTTCCAAAATAGATGTATGTGATCAAAGTTTGTTGAGCTTCTCTCTTGACCAACAGTATTCCACTGCAAAGCTGGAAAACCATGTGGTCAACATTTTTCAGAAATTTCTCTGCTTTTTTACCACTGAGGCAAAACAATAATTAGTTTAAATTTGGTAACATTTTTTCTCCTTTTTGCTTTCAGGCCAAAAAGTGAATTTTCAAATCTTGACAATGATCAGTGTAAGACTTCCAAAAATGTTAAACAGTTCTGTCACAATGAATATCTTAATATTTTTGATTACGATTATGATGATGATTTTATTTATCAAAGTGTTGACAAATTTTGCTGGTATTCATACTACTCTTCCCAGTAGACCGAGGCAGTTGTGATTTTTTGATCACTTCGTAGTGTCTCATTATGCTAGCTGTGAGTGCATTTCAAATTGACTATGTGATGCCAATGTTGTATCACATGGACAAGTTTTTTTTACGCCATGTGTTTAAAATTCGGTGAAGTTTTGATACTGGTTTATGAAAATCTCTCTAACTTTTCTCTGGTCCTTAAGAGACATTTGAAGATGAATTCCGCTCAGGTTGTCCAAACGTCAGTCACCACCAACCACAGTCTTTCTCAAGAGTACACCCTCCCAGACAATAACATTTCACACTAGACATATTTTGTTGGTTTCAGATCAAGCTCCCTTCGATCCCAATGGAAAAGCAGACAAGTTTTACATAAATGTTGAAGTGAGTGAAAAATAAGAGAAGAGGTCTCACACTTAATTCTGCAACAGTACTGTTTATGGTTTTCTATTGTTTAATCAGTTTTGTTTCACCAGGGCTATAGGACCCTTGCAATGCTTGAGAATGCAGCTCACTTTGGAGGGCGACACAATAGGTTTCCAATTCTCAGGAGATTGAAATTCTTTTGTTTTGTCCTTCAAATTGAGCTGCTTTGACATCACATGCAAGGGGTCTATTACCCTATGTATTACCCTCTGTTGGTCCTTTGGGGGAAGGGGGTAGCGGGAAGGGGGGGGGGGAGATATTTCTCCACAGGGGGAGGGGTAAGAGCACTGGCTCATTGCTACCAACTAAAATCATAAACATAGTTATTGTTTCATGGATACGAATTTTACTCTTTAAGGGGTTTGTCTAACAGTTGCTAAATCTGTTTTTTCTCCTCTGCTCTATAGAGTTCTGGTGCCTTAAGACCTGAAAACATAGTACTATCAGGATTATCTGTATTAAAGAAGAAGCTAAGTGACCTACAGACACAGCACAGCCATGAAGTAGCAGCAGATGTGCTCACTATTTAAACATTCTTTGACACAACTTTCACCCTTATACTGTAGGAAATCAAACACTAATGAAACGCCATAACTACCCATAATTATCTAGTGACTATATATCTGCTAACAGACTATTTACTTTTAAATATAAGTCTATCTTTCTATTGAAGGGTTGCAATCATTCTCAAGAGAGTCGAAAGAAAAAAAACATGGCGGTCATTGTGATGCCATTAACAATGGACGCCAATTAGAAATCTTTTGTTAAATGGTACCAACACTAGACTGAGAGCCCGCAACAATGTAACGTGCAATACAATTGTTTTGATTGCAGTTAAGGTTCTTTACAGGTAGTCCATGCATTTATTTAATAATATTTATATCCTGTAAACTTTGATGTGACATTGAACAATGTGGAAGATGCTAATTCCAATGCTTTCTTTCGTTTTTCTTTGTTTGTTATTCACTCCTTATACAACTTTGTCACACAGGCTAAATAAAATCATGATTCTGAACAAACTAAAATTAATGATACTACTGAACACACTGTCTTACTTCATATGTTTTTTATTAATTAAAGCCATTTACAGTCTAAAAATAAATCTGTTTTGTAGAAAGAACATTAATGAAGCTAATAAATGTATATACATAAATACTTTGTTAGAAGCTAATTTCCAAAAAAAATTTGTTTTTTAAATTACTTCCTTTTGGTTGGGTTTGGGAGGGGAGGGGAGCGGAGGGGAGGGGAGGGGAGAGGAGAGGACTAAGGGACTGGCCAGAAAGTAAATGGGGAGTGGGGTTGGCCATAAATATTCAGTTATTAAAAAAACAAGATACTGGTGACCCACCCCTTGTATAAAGTCCTTTCGCATGATGCAAACCTTATTCGAGGCTCAAAAAAAAGGGCCCCCCTGCTTTTCATAACCCACCATTCCCTTTACTTTCTGGCCAGTTCCTACGGCAGGGGCGGATTCAGGGGTGTTAAGATAGGTGACTAGTCACCCCCCTTTTGCTCAAAGTTCTCAGAATATCATTAGTAACAGTCACCCCCCTTTTCCTTGAATTCCTGGTAAAACCGTTGTAATAAGCCTTATCATAGTTTAAGAATTGATTCCACTACGCATGCGATTTTATCCCGAATTTCTCACCTTTTGTTTAATTAAGAACAAAAGAAGGTTTAGACAAAAGAAGGTGAGAAATTCGGGATAAAATCGCACGCGCAGTGGAATCAATTCTTAAACAATGAAAAGGCTTATAGTCACCCCTTCTACACTGTGTTATCATTTTACAAGCATTGATAAATAATGTAATAAAACTATAGAGCAGGCAGTGACTTGGTCTGCACAAAATTTCGTAAAATTTACTCAGTTTAAAAATGGTTTTGTATAAATAAACTAAAAATCGAAAATATTAATTTTTAAATCTTTGCAGTTTCAAAATCAAGATAAAAATATAGTTCATGATTTGATGCTAATATTTTACAATATTTCTTATAATACTACTAATAAATATATATATTATGATTATAACATTTCTTTTAAACTATCAACTTCATGCTTTAGGCTGTAACAAAAGTATAAGTTACAGAATTAAAAGAAGAACAACATCGCATTGTCATGGGGGGGGGGGGGTGAATAGGGGGAAGCATTTCCATTGATCTGTTAAAATATCTGCCCAAATCCCATAAAATTTTTTAATTTACTCTGCGTCTGAATCAGGGTAATCAGGACAAAATAGAACTCCTTTCTCAGACATTAAATGCTTTCCCATTTCAGACCATGTGTCATTCCCTTGAGAATAAGTTTTGTTTGAGTTGTATCCATATCCATGTATCCTCTCATGATCATGCACAACCATTTCCCATTTTAGACACTTGGAGGTCTTTTATTTGTGAAATTTGCCAATCACCCTCTCACCTATAGACCTATTCACCCCCTACCCACTAGTCACGGTTGTTTTCAAATTAATGTTGGGCTTCCTGTGGTAAAGGTTATCCACAGGGATCCCAATAACACAGTTTGAATTTCAGTTTCCTTGACAATCATTCAATTCAATGTAGAATACTTACCTTTCTACTATAGGCATGAAGTGGCCTTGTATCTCATGTATTGTTAAGTCCACAACCTCCTGTGTTGTGTACTGCAGAAGTAATATAACATTTATTAGCAGAAGATGGATTTTTTGTATCAACTAAAAATTTTATCAGCATCATGTGTTGTCAATAGAGGTTTTGCAGTTTGCACCACCATGTGATGGCAACCAGGTTACATGGCAGGAAGAATGCAATCTTTTTATTTGAGAAAGAATTAAATCTCCAAGAGCATAGGGATTTTATTGCCTATGCTATCTACTGTAACCACAGGCAGCCCAAGCTATATTATGAATGCTGACATGTGATGGTAAAAAGATTTTATACAGTCATCATCATCAATACATTATCATGTCATCTGACATCATCATCAATATCATCATGTATCATCAATACAATGGTAATGTCATCTGACATCAACATCATCATCATGTATCATCAATACATTATCGTGTCATCTGACATCATCATCATCATGTATCATCAATACATCATGTCATCTGACATCATCATCATCCTCATGTATCATCAATACATTATCGTGTCATCTGACATCATCATCATCATGTATCATCAATACATTAATAATAATAATAATAATAACGATTTATTGAAGCATATCTACAGAGTAGCTCTACATCTTCAACAAAGAAATGGTCAATGTCAATGACCATGTCATGTCATCTGACATCATCATCATCATGTATCATCAATACATTAATCGTGTCATCTGACATCATCATCATCATCATCAAGTATCATTATCCGATGGTCATGTCATCATCTTCAACAACGACAAAATGAATCATCATCCTCTATTCATTAAAACAAAGTTCACCATCACCACTGTGATGTATCTTCAACCAGTCACCTTAACCAAGCTTGCTTGACGCCTAAAATAGCAGTTTCCCTCCTCATCTAAGTAGACTGGATGTAAATTGATGTTGTAGCTACCATCTTCCATGGTTAGTGCTGGATAAGGGTAGGGAAATATAGTGATTTCTATGATATAATCACTTGATATAATGCCCTAAAAAAAACGGAAAAATAATATCATATTAATTGCTTTTCATTTTACACACTTTACACTTCTCATGTCATAAAAAAACTGAGGGTACATCCTAGTTCCAAAAACTTGTTTTCTACAAAATGTATATTGTATATTGTGTATTCAGAAAGTATCCAACATATATAGATGTTAACTTCCCCCAAAGCTGTAGCACTAGTCTCAATTTCTTTTAAGTACTCCAGCAGCCTCTTGATGTAATAGCTTTGCAAAGTATTCATTAAAAGTAGAGGTAGAAGACCAGGGGGGGGGGGGGGTACTCCCCTATTTTCGCTATACGGGTACGTGCCACCAAACAGGGTGTGGTTTTCAGCAATTCTATTCTGGAACAGGGTATACAGTCAATTCAAAAAACGTTGCCGTCAACCGGCTCAAGCCTACGAGACTGGACCGAAAGGAATATGGGTAAAAATCACTGAAGCGGTTAAATATTCGTTCTGAATTAATTGTTCCCTCTAGTAATAAGATAATAATGGTGAGAAACAATCCATCAAATGTATGTCTTCGGGTTTAGGTGAAGAAAAACAAAGTAGTTATGATTCAGTTCACAATTCCGAAAATATGAAGGCATTAAAAAACGTCTCCTTCAACGCTTCCCGCTCGCCTAGGAAGGTTCGTTCAGAGGGCTCAGCAGCACATCCCTACCCTAAACAAGCAAGAGTACACCCCCCCCCCCCCCCCCCTCGAGGGTAGAAGTCATTATTTTGCCAGATTATAGCCCAAAGATTATAATCTTACTAAGGTGACATACCTTAGAAAAATCTTCAAGAGCAGCTCTATCACACCAACAGTACTCGGATGTTCTCAGTAGATGAGGCTTTAGTCTATTGGCATCAATACTTTGACTTCAAGGATTAAAACATAAATAAAAACAGGAAAAATGGGAAAAGATAGGATAAGGCAAAATGGGATGGGAACAATGGGACACTGGAATTAGTGCAATGAGATAGGATAAAGCAACTAACATATTTTATTCCAAGTGGCAGTTTGCAAGTACCTTTTCTCCTTGGCCTGCGATGTAACATCCTTCCACAAGTCAGTCTTTTGAATCACAGGAATAATTTCAATCTTTGATAGAATAAGACACACTAATTAATATGCTATGACAGTGAGCTCAGTGTATTATGGGTGGAATTCACATACATTATTAAAATGACCTTACTTTGGAAATCAAGGGTGGCGTAGCATGCRCAGTAGTGCACTTGCATCTCACCTTGGTCTCAAATTTCATTCCTGGACTAGGAGTCACATATGAGGAGAGTTCGTTGGCTGTCTCTCCCCTGATTTTGAATCAACGGTGGTGTGGTGGTAGTGAATACACCTCTAACCTTTGGTGCCTTGGGTTTAATACTTTAACTAGGCATCACAAGTTTGCATGCTGGCCTACTAGCTCACCCTTGATTTAAAATCAACACTCAGGTGTAGTGGTAGTGTTAGTGACCTCCCATGTAACTCTAGATCTGGAGCCTTGGGTTTGATTCCTGGACTAGGTATTTTTCTCACATGGTACTCCAAACCTTGAAAATTATAGATTCTTAAAATCCCACTCTTTCATTGGAGTTTAGTATACGTCCCTCCATGGGTAGGCAAATCAAATGGAGTGTTATTTTTTCAGTAATATGCAATGTTTTCCAATACCTTATATCTATCCTCAGACACTTGTGGAGTATACCTATTCATGAGGTCTTTCATCGATACTATTACATGGTCTTTCTGTAAAAATAAAAGGTACCAGCTTCATTAGCCAATATCAGATTTCTTATTTTTACCCAGAGGGTCTATATTATAAAATTTAATGGCAAAAACTTAGTTCAAAAAATTTGCTGCAATTTAAGATTATTCCATTAGCCTATAACCGACCTCTTTAGCTTCGTATGCAAATTGCCCATTTCAGATCACATGACATTCCCTTGAGAATTGTTCTTTTATGACGAACACGTTAAAATATTTACGCGTGAAAGAATCAACTCCCAAGAGTGGCACCACATGGTCTGAAATGTGCAAAACAAACAACGAAACTAAAAAGGTCTATTCATGAGGCTTTGCATCATCACGTGTATGATGGCAGCCATGACAGGAGGCCACAACAATAGAGTCATTCTTCTCTGGGAAACTGAATTCTTTCTCATGTACAGTAAATCACGTTAGACCAGATTCAATTGTTCCTGCCTACTGCCATCACGTAATGGTGCAAAGCCTCCATAGCCCCCTCCTAGTGACCTTAACCCATATGCAGGGCTGTCAACCCCCAAGGTATTCAAATCTGGAGAATTGATAGGGTAGGGACATGACGTCACAGCGGAAAAAAGCGCACGAAAAAGACGTCATTCACTTTGTAACATTTGATGTGATTGGTTTATTTTTGACCAATCAGAATATCGCTTATATTACAATGGCCTGCTTGYGAGAACAGTTTATGAGGAATGTTTTGATTTTGTTAGCGATGTAAAATAACAAAAACAACACAAAAATAATTGAAATTTTATAGTTGTGAAAGTCGAGTCTAGATATGGTCAGCTTCGGCGATTATCCGGGAGATTTGAGACTCTAATCTGGAGACCGGGAGATACGGTCCAAAATCTGGAGACTCCCGGCTTATCCGGGAGAGTTGACAGCCCTGCATATGACATATACATGGATACAAACCTGGTATTGATTTAGTGTGATTCCTTTGACCTTTCCTTCATCTATGATTCCAAGGTAGATCGTTCCTCCTTTACCAGTGTTCAAAAATCCATTTATATTCCTAGTAGATAGTTTATTGATAAAAAATAAGCATAAAATAGGCTCATAAACATCTTTCCATTGTTTTGACTCATTTAGTTCCAACCAATATTACCAATTTTACCAAGTCCAACCATTAGAGCCCTTACCTTCCTCTGAAAATCTTAAATTCTAAGCAAATTACCTGGAAACAGCCTTCCTGGAAGCTCTTCCAGTTCCCGGGATCAAACACCAGTGTGGTACTTCTTCTGCACTTAAATTCCTGTGTCCTTTAAATTCATGAAATGCGTCTTCTTCAAACGGTACGATCGATTCCTTTACGTAAAATCTATTGCTCTTTCTCCTCGTCGTCGTCATTGGATTTGATCTTTATTAAATAATTTTGATTATATTAAAGAATGAATGAAAAAATTTGAGTAAAAATRTTGATTGTAAAATGAATTTGGCCTCGTTCCAGACCTCCCGTCCAGTCTCATAGCCTCATTCCCATGTGGCACCGGTTCTTCTTCTTTCTCGATGCGCGAGGCGGCCATACCAAGCCAAGATTTGGGCTCACTTTACGACAGTTTTCTGGGGTAAATATCAACTTTATTCTGCCATTTATCACACTAGAATCCTTACCAAGTATCATACTAACGATTTTATAGGTATTTTTGAGCACAGAGTGCTTAAATTTATTAATTTCTAGCTTTTATGAAGTCACCTTGACCTGAGTTTTTTGGATAGGGAAGGACTGTTTAGTGTGCAAAGCATCGCTTTTTTGTCCAAAGAAATCGTAATGTTGGATGGTAATTGTAGCTCAGGTATAACTTATGGTATTTTTTATTCTAGGTTCGCATCGTTTTGGTGTTTTTAGCCTCGGTTTATTGGCTAGAAAGCAGCTAAAGCTGACTTCTGGTATGTCATCAGCCACTGCAAGAGCGCGAGTGTACGCCGACGTGAACGTCCATCGCCCAAGAGAATACTGGGACTACGAGTCTCATGTCATAGAATGGGGGTAAGTAAACTGCTAGAGGCTTCACTATTACCTACAATGATTGTTTTATTTAACGATTAAGTCTGTTATCGAGGGAGGATAGTGTATAAAGTCCGTCCTTTTGCTGGACGTTGTGCATCATGAACGAGCTTCGACCTGAACTTGTACTTTCTTCTTTAAATTGTGACAAGCGTACAAGCATGGCGCTAAGCATATCAAGACCTGAAGTACTCCCTCCTCAAATAAAAAGTAAATATGTACAGCCGCCAACGAAATAAATAAACTGCGTCTCCCATCCTTTTGGGTTGAACAGCAGTGAACATGAGCAACAAAATGTGTTAAAGTTATTCTGAATGATGAAGGAATTGAATCGCTTTATAGTGACAAAACCATAAGCTTCCTGTTTTATTTTCCTCTTCGATGAGATAATAATTTCTTCCACATGCTATATTATTAAATAATGTCCATGAGATGTTCTCCCCAAAACAAGAAATTTCACAACCCTAAGAAACCCACAGATTTTTGTAGAAAACAGCTGAATATTTTGGAATGGCAAAAATGTCATAGTTCCTTTTTGTGTATTCAGCCAAACGGAAACCCCATTTCTACCAAAAATAGTGCTATTCAAGGCAAAAAGTGTGTATCAAATTTATCTTAGAAGGATTGTTGAAATGAAGGTCAACGTTGTCAAAAGCATGTTAGATGTGGGGTGCTACAGAATGGGTTATGGGGCCTAAATAGTTGACTGTTGCAAACTTAGAAAATCTTCACTCTTCCAAATGAAAAATATTTTGTTTTGTTGCTAAGGTGTTTTGCCTTTCCAAAATAAATCCTGCAAAAGCAAAATCATTATTTACAAACAAATACAACACAAAATCATTTCGCAAATTTTCATTGTTTTGGGTTTTCATGTTCCTGCGTTGCGAATATTTTTTAGTGTTTTTTTTAAAACAGTTGCTTGTATTTCATGTTGAATTATTCTTGGTTGCTTTTTTCGTAGTTATTAATATTTAATCAATCTCATGTTTTTGTTTATCAATTTTAATTTTAAAGTAGCATTCATTAAGAATCTTGAGATTTTGCAAGTTTTCAAGATAAGATTTCGGTTTCTCGTCTTATTCATGGAAAAAGAAAATACAGTAGTATATATTTTTACTTCTTGAAATAAGAAATCATAGAGCTGTAGAGAAAATAACAGCTTTGCAGGGGAAACAAAGTATATATATCAAATTATACTTTGTTTATATACATAAACAAAGTATATTTATATGATCCTGATATTCTTAGTCCAATGCTGATTCTAAGATATACAGTGCTACAGCTGTACATGTAGATTGCACCTTGAGTTTTGTTGTCGTTGTCATTGTCATCACCGCCATCACTGCCAAAATGTATAGATTGGTACTCTTTCCCTTTTTGCTGTATTTGTTTGGTTTATTTTCTTTCCATATGGTTAATATTCAAAATTATATATTTATTTTTGAGTTATAATAATTATAATAATAATAATAACGACTTTATTTACCCTGAGAATGAGTCGGCATACAGTACATGAAAATTATACGCTACTATGAATTCATGTGCAGCTAGAATTATATATATATACTAAGAGTTTTGGATTCTGTAATTGGCTTTTTTGTGGTCACCCAGTTAGGCACCAATTCTAGAGTTTTATATACTTACAGAAGGGCAAATTACTGTTAAAAGCTTTTTATAAATTTAATAATGAGTGTAAAAATGGTCTGACTAGCTAGGTTGAAATGGATATTTTTAGGAGCAACTCATAATCTGTTATAAATTTCAAAGCCTTGCTTTGTGGTTATTGCTAATTTTAAGATTTTAAGAGGGAAAAAAAAGGTTTTTTATGTTTAATTCTAAATTTATACTTGTTTATGATGACATTTTTGCATAGTTAAGTAATTTTTCTTTTCATTTATGACCTTTTTCTTTAACTTCAATSATAGGGACAAGAATCTTACTAAACATATTCACCAATAACAGGTGCACTTACTCCTCGTGCACCATTTTAATCTCCTCTTTGTTACAATTTAACTCTAACATCAATACAATAAGCAGCATCGGCAATTTTCCTTTCATCCAATTATCATTGCACTGCACACTGCAGTTGTCATTTATTATTAATTAAATAACTTGTATTGTAAAGAAGCCATAAATATTAATTCCATAGCCTCTAATAAAATCCAGAGCATTCCATAAATTTTTAAGATGGTAGAGAAAAAAGCAATATCAAAAGTGATAACTAGCTAAAAACTAGTGTGAGCTGCGTCAGTGTTTCTAATGAAAGTACTAGCTTCCGAAACGTCAGTAAGTTTTTTCATCTTTTCACGGTGTATAATTTACCTTTTTGTCATTAATATCAGAAGTGGTTATGATATTCTTTGTCTTCTGGATTGTAATTAATTAATCAGAGAAATTGCTTGAGCATTTCAAACAGAGACCTACAGTAGATTATTCATTGGTCTATATTGTAATTAACTTTGGATTTTGCTCTGTTTTTATATCATCTTTCGCAAGATGTTCAATATTTTATTTTAGAATTGTTTTGCAGATGCCACTGATACCAGCATAATTCTTATATATTAGTATATATATCTTCCTCCATTATTTATTATATTCACTTGTGTTATAAATACTAAAACAATTATTCACCTCAGGCTCAGTGAATATTGGGAAATATTTACCACACCGCTTGAAGACTCACGTCTCTGTAAATATTCCAATATTTCACTACACCTTCAGTGAATATAAATAAAGGAATATATACAAAATTATTTCTTTTGCATTACTTCATTTGATCAGACATCTTCAACGACAAGATTTAAGGGCATATAATGTGGATTATACTAGACCCTAGTCTTGTATTGTTACTTAGAGCTAGTCTTATTTATAAACCATTTTAGCTTAGGCATAATGGTTTCCCATTTCAGACAGTGTCATTCTCTTAAGAGTAAGATTTTTTTGGAGTCAAATCCATATTCATGTGTCTTCTCATGTGCAACTCTTAAACAAAGAAATAATACTCTTGAGAATGACCTGTGATCTGAAATTGGAAAACAATAGGTAATTTAAAAAATACAATTAAAATGGCCTGCTTGAAGGAAAGAAAAAGCATAACAAGTGAATTGGAAAATACAATGTCTATAATATGTTCCTTAATTAAATTGTCAATGTCATTGAAGATTCTGAGGTTCTTAGAGCTTAGGAACAGTTATGTAATAGAGTGAATATATGCTAAATACAATTCAAGACAAAAAACCTAGAGCATTAGAAATTTCTAGGTGTTTCTAAGCTTTAAAGTGAAAGTCTAATTTTTGCTTTCAAAATTATTTTTAGTACTGTAGTCATATATCTGGTTATCATATTGATGTTTTGAATCTTCATGCTGACTAATACCATGTAAAATAAAATCTAGGACAGGTTTCAGGTTTTAAGCTTTTTGCTACCGATTTGTTTCGTATTGAAAATAGAAATAATTTGGTATTTAAACCAGAATAATCATTGTTAAGAAAGATACTATGAAGGCCATGAAAATAATGTGGAATATATAAAAAATAAAAAAAACTAGGGAAACAGGAAAACATAAGCTACATAATAACTAGTTTTACAGTATGTTACCTCACTTTAATTGTTTTAATTTACTAACGTCATATTATGATTATAAATCTTAAATAAGTTATATCTTATAACATTCGATTAGTGAAACAAGACTTGCAATGTAAAATAATGGGCCTCCATTATTGTATTTAAAAAAAAGTCATAATACACTATCTAGAATGTTCTTTCATTTAATTATTACGTGTAGAGGCAAGATTGGATGTGACAGGATTTCATTGCTTCCTTCCTTCCTTTCTTTATTGCAGTCAACAAGACAATTATGAGCTAGTACGAAAACTTGGTAGAGGCAAATACAGTGAAGTATTTGAAGCAATAAATATCACAAATGATGAAAAAGTGGTAGTCAAAATATTAAAGGTAAGATGACTTTGTAGGATTGTGGTTTGTGCAGGATTCTAATCAGCTGTCTCAATTGGGTGCTTTGATAGGAAAAGATTAAGCTTTAAAAAAGGCATTTAGCTTTTATAAACTCAGAATAGAAAAACAAAAAAAATTGCAAGTATATGTTTTAGGAATTTTTTTTTTTTCTGTTTTTGGCTAGGGAACTGTTACTTTTTCAGATATTATAGTTTTAGGGAAATGAACAGATACCGTATATAATATTGTTTAAAAATTCTTTTCCATTTTTCTTGATAATCTATATTGCTATATTAATAAGCAAAATTTGGGCCAGTTGGATTTAAGTAGTTGACTTCCAACTACAGCATAGTTTGAACCCTAGCATTTTCCTGTAGTAACAGTGTTCAACATGCATTTATCTTTTTTTTTTGCGTGCTATCTTCATACAGACACACAGAGGTTAAAGATGATGCATTAGCAGTGTACACCACCCATTGCACCCATGATGAGTATAATAATGATTGTATTTTGTATTATTACTTTCAGCCCGTAAAAAAGAAGAAGATAAAAAGAGAAATAAAAATTCTGGAAAATTTGAGAGGTGGCCCAAACATCATTAACCTCTTGGATGTCGTCAAGGACCCTGTTGTRAGTATAATGGTTTGTCTAGATGTGGCTAAAATATTATCTCTTTAGTGTCCACAATGTTTCGATAGCTTCATGGACTAATGGATTTTAGTAAAAATACACAGGTGATTATTGAAAATCTTGCGCACTTATTGGTCAAAAAAAACTCACACTATCACACGATAATCACCTCCAGCGATAATCCAAAATGGCGGCCAACCGCTTTGTTGCTGATACCGGAAAAAAACTTCTTTTATCTTCTTTTTTTTCTTTTTTTGAAAGAATCACCTGTGTATTTATACTAAAACAATTATTTACCTCAGCCTCAGTGAATAAGACTCGCATCTCGGTAAATATTCCACGATATTCACTTCGTCTTTGGCGAATAATAGTTAAATAATTCAAGTATTATATCAAAATGGAATTAGGCCTAATTAATTATTACATTCATTTTGCCCACTGGCCAATTTCACTCACGACATTTTACCTTGACTGGCTTTTTTTTCAGACATGCTTTCTGTGACTTAAAAAATAGTGTTTGTATAGGCTATTTATATGTGGGCAAAATTGTCTGTGGGCAAAATCACTGGATACCGACAAAATTTGTGTGCAGAATATGGAATAATAGCTGTAAGATTTTGGGAGAAAAATCAAAACTCAAATCAAAAGGACTCAATTTGATAGCAACCCTATAGTGAAGAAATTTTGTCAGTAGTTTATTTGATTGTTCTAGTTATCTGAACCCAAATATCAAAGATTAACCTTAATCATTTTTCTCACAATTGTGGCCAGTTGGGTGGACAGCCATGAGACAAATGAATAAGTAAAATCTTTGATCTATATCCACAATGATTATTCCTTTTGATTTTATTAAACCCAAATAGCTATTCTAATCTTTGAATGTATATAGTTATCCATTTATGCAACAATTCATATGGTTTTTTTTTCTTTCTTGCTTTAGTCAAGAACGCCAGCATTAATCTTCGAGTATGTTAACAACACTGATTTTAAGGTAAGAGTTTGTTACAGTAGGGATGTTAATGTTAATAGTAGTCAAAATAATGGTGTATCAAATGATAATAATTGTAATTCTGGGACAGTTAGCACACTATGTATTTGTTAGAAATAAAATCCGAGCTATTTCTATAATATTGTAGAAAATCAGAGTGTAATATTACTTCTTAAAAATCCAAGACATTAACTAATTGTTCATTTCTTATTACCATAGCAACTATACCAAACATTTACAGACTTTGACATCAGATACTATCTGTATGAGCTGTTAAAGGTAAGAGGATTTAAGAAAATGCTACTGGCAAAGACAAACGAGAGCCAATTTCATTAAAAAAATCATTGCTGTACAATRAGCAGACTTTGTCTAATGTTAACTCAAACTACACGTTGTGGTTTGAGGAATTGTTAAATGACAATGGAAAGCCATTTCAGTGTTACGTATGTTACACAATGAAAGCCAGTACTATATGTTTCCCACTAATAGGCCCTTTGCAGCTCAGCAATCACGTGCTGATTAATTCACTGAGAGCAAATGAATGAACATCTTGATTCCCATGGGTGAAATTTACTGGAGAGCAAACAAACTTTCTACTTTCAAACTTTCTTTTTTGAGAGATCGTAATAAAACTACATTTCGTAACACACTGGATACACATCTTTTCATTCAGTTCTTTACAAGTACCTAAAAAAAATCACCAATTTAATATAAAGACATAAATTTTGCCCTCCAGTACAGACACGTGACCGTTAACTGCAAAGGGCCTATTTGAAAAACAATCTATAACTGCACATTAATTGATCAAAATGAGAATTTTATTTTGCCTGAACAAAAAAAGTGTTGCAGAAGTATATATTTATTTCCATATTTGCATGGTTTTAATTGTCTTTGTAATCATTCACAGGCTTTGGATTATTCGCACAGTATGGGAATCATGCACAGAGATGTCAAACCTCATAATGTCATGATAGACCATGAAAAACAAACGGTAGGATATAGACTGAGGTTATTTACCAGCCAGGAGGTCTGGATAGGGAAAAACTTAAAAGCCTGAGGTCTTGAATACACCTATTTCAAAAAACATTGTCATCACCAAAGGCGATAGGCAATATAGGTCATTCTATGATGGGAAGGAATTAAAGGCATGCAACTAAACTTGAATTATTGGGGTCTAAGATGGTTTCGTCGGCTAGAAACGACAGTGGATATCTTAACACCAACCTCTGTGTTGTTGACAAGAATAATTATGAAAAACGCAAGTCATTTCTTGGATTTTGGAATGACCAATCCCCTATATCACCTTTGGTGATGACAACATTTATGTTTGTTATGAAAAGTATGATGACACCAGTTTTATTCTCAAAGTGTTTGTGTGCGTTGAGTTGTTTCGTTGTATCCTGTGCTTTAATGGGGTTTCTCTTGGTTCTCATGTAACTTCCTTTGTGCCTGCAAAAATCAACTTCTTACAGTGCAATTACTATAATGGGGGCCACTTAGACAGCAAGAGCCAATCGAATTGTAGAAAAAAAACAATACCTTTTCAACTTTGAGTAATAGAGCCAATCAGAAAGCAGCAGAAAACAATAGCCTTTCGACATACCTTTTTATTCCCACAAGAAAATAACGATGGCTATCTAGTTGTTTACACGTAACATCAGGGTCAAATTACAATTCTCATGCATTCTAGATTTCTGATTGGCTCCACTACCCAAAGTTGAAATGTATTGTTTTCATTCTACATTTTAATTGGTTCTCTTGTCTAATCTTGTCTAACTGGTGCAATTGGCCCCGGTTACGGTAGTTGCACTGTAATTCATTCCTGAATTCATACTAGAAATGTTGACTTATTCTTCTCTTTGTAACAAATATTTACTAACATCCCATGATTTTATCTGGTTGATTTGCAGCTGAGACTAATAGATTGGGGATTAGCAGAATTCTATCACCCAGGCCAGGAGTATAATGTACGGGTAGCGTCACGATACTTCAAAGGGCCTGAATTACTAGTTGATCATCAGGAATATGACTATTCGTTAGATATGTGGAGTTTTGGCTGTATGCTGGCAAGCATGGTATGTATATGTAATTTATTAGTGGTCTTTATCTATTATAATAGGACGTTTGCACGATGACCTCTACTACCAGACTCCCTATCACAGTTTCTTTTTTTTCAGTTAATTAGCACCAATTGTCTTACTATTCTCATGAGGGAATACAGATTTAAATAAGAAAGAAAATTCACGAAGCATCATGCAAACGTCCTATTATAATTGGATGGAAAAAGACAAGGTTGATGTGTTATAATACATGTATATGAAGAAAATATCTTACATAGGAATGTAATCCTGTATAGGATGCTCGGGATCCTACCCAGGATCCTGTTCCTACAAAGGATCTCATCCATGACCCTATTGCTGGCAGAAAGAATTCTAGTATATTTTTTAATTTAAATTAGCTTCTTTTGTCATATCCCCTTGTTTAAATCTGTAAGATCTGGTAAGATCCTTTAGAATCCTACTTAGGAATTGCTGGCTTTCACTTCACTTCTTTTCATGTTTCGTGCGGAATATTCATCAGCTGAATTGCAAGTTTCTTTCTGGTTGACAGCGCATGGTGGTCAGTGTTTGGCCACCATTCGGAGCAGACAAGGAGATAATTCAAAGACTTTTATCAGCTGGTTGAAACAAAGCAATTGTACTATATTGAAAAATAATTAATGTTGTAGCTAGATGATTCTGAATCATGTTCTCTTGCTGCAGATATTCAGAAAAGAACCATTCTTCCACGGGCATGACAACTATGATCAGGTAAATGATTGTTAGTTTTGTTTGACTTTCTGTTGAAAACAGTGGGCACATAGTGAATACCTTGCCATTACTATCCCTTTTTTTAAAGACCCCTTGCAGTATGTCAGAATAAGGCTCAATTTTGAAGACATAGCAACAGGTTTCCATTTCTCAGGAGATTAAAATTCTCTGGTTTTGTTCACTCCAAATTAAGCTATTTTGAAGTCACATGCAAGGGGTCTATAGTCTAGCATGCTGTAGCATTTACATTGCTTCACAATCACACACATGAAATCGTACAATTTGCCATTGTGATGAAGTAGGTTTTGGTGGTCGTCAATCAGTGCATTTCCAAGACRTTCCATAGCCATGTGCCCTTAAAAGATTTGTGTTTTCCAACAATGCTGGTAAACTCTTTGATTGGTGTCCACCAAAACTCTATTATGTCACGTAAAAAAAAATCACGATTTCGCACGTGTAATTGAGAAGCGCTGTAACTGCACTCAGTTCTCTACTCTCAAGTCTTTAGTTTGAATCCTGCAAGTGCTCTGACATCACAGGAACCAATGTTTTGCAGTAATTCAAGCAATGGGAAATGCCTATTTGAAATGGTCCGTGTTTAGAGTGAGTCCATGAGGTCTGGATACCCTTGGGAGGTTGCTTAAAGCATGCACTCCAGAACTTAGAAATAGCACTCAGTTATGCCTCAAATATGCAACTCTCATGCTTCTTTCGTGCCTTGCGACCTTTCACATGCATCCATAACTTGTTGGACACATGCATGAACAAGCAAATTTCTCTTATAACATGACAAAACTTAAAACATTTCATTGTTTATTCTAGAAATATTTACTTTCATTCTAACAAAATCATTCTAACAATGACATCACTGGGCAGTCCATAGAATTATGGATGCGTGCTGATACTGCAAGCTAATTTAACAGTGTTGTAGTGWTTGTTATACTTCAACTATGTCCTATATAGTGATTGAAACTTGTGTCACTAAGTTCCCGAAGAGTGCATATTAGAGTGATTTAATCTAACCCGTGTAAAAATAGTAAGCATAATAGTTAGTAGTAGACTCTAAACCCTCCTTTTACTCCAACGAAGGACTAGCGTCCGAAACGTCAGTAAGTTTTTTCATTTTTTTCATGGTGTATAATTTACCTTTTCATCATTACTGTAGACTCGAAACCCATTGTTTTCTCTTTTGTTATCAACTATTGCTAACTAAAAGTGATAGTCATTTTTCTTTCACGGGTTAATTAAAATCACTCTACTGACTTAAAACCTTTGTTTAACACAAGACATTTTAATAATGTTACAGTTGGTAAGGATAGCCAAGGTTCTTGGAACAGAAGACCTGTTTGATTACATTGAAAAGTACCACGTAGAACTAGACCCAAGGTTCAATGATATCTTAGGGAGGTAAGCAAGCAGTTGCATGTATTTGTGTGCCTATTTCTACTCTTGCTGCATGCGTTAGTAGTCACTCATTAGACCTTTGTCATGCAGCAGACATGTTTATTTCCACGAGAATTGGATGTTTGCATGATAGCRTCATTTGACTCCCATTACCAAGATGCTTTGAATTTGTATTCCCTCATGAGAATAGTAGACAATTGACATAATAAGACAATACATGACTTTCATAACTGGCTGCTGCTAATTTGCATAAACATTAAAAGTCAATGTTTTTGGAGTGAAAACCCTTTTAAATCATTGATCTTGTTGATTTAGATAAGGCGTGTGAGTTTCTACTTAAATTAATAAATCCTTTACAAGATGTGAGCATTTGAAGTTTTGAAAATGTACCAAAACGAGGCCACTCTTAGTTAGTTTCCGTGAAGTATTTTCTCAGATAGCATTAATAGTTTCTGGTAAAAAGGCTTCATTTTCTCTATCTGAAAAAACTGAGTTATGAAAGTCGTCTATTGGTGCTAATTAACTAAACAAAAAAAGTGCAAAGGAGTCTGCTAGTGGAGGTCAATAACACAAACATCCTTCTAAAGCCTTTATTTCTGCCCTTTAAAACTCATCTTGAAGTGCTTGAATAATGAGGTAAAAATCTATCTTATTAGCCAACATGACTTCTGAATGAAAAAGGTCTATGTTCCTTTTTTATGCCAATCTGGGGTTCAAAACAAAATTAATATAAGAAAAACATGTACATGAGAAATATTTCCAAATCTCAGGAAAAGAGTTTTCTTGTTTTGACCCCCTAGCCTGTGTTCCATATGGCCTTTTCTTTCGAATAATATTTACAAAGAAAATTCCGGATGCGACGCAGGCTATGACCCCCTTGCAGATAGGGAACTACAGTAGTAAAAAGGGATCTATAGACTTATCATTAGTACAGCAAAAGAAAATTAACGGTAGTATATGTGATATATGTATGAGATAAGCAATGTATGAGTCCCTGTGTGAACAACAGCAGGCAGTAAATAGATAGATAGCATATAAGGGCAGGCAGGAAATTCAGGGAGAAAAAAAGGAGCAAAAAACAGTGCACTAAACAGCCATGGTGCAAAGAGAATTCTATTTAGTGGCAATATTTATTATTTGCTGCTTTCACAGGCATTCAAAAAAGAGATGGGAAAGATTTAAACATGCCGAAAATGAACACCTGGTTAGCCCAGAAGCGCTTGATTTGCTGGATCGCCTCCTAAGATATGATATTCAGGTATTGTGCTTCTCATAAATCTCTTTTTCTTACAGCCATTCAAAAAAGAAATGGGAACGATTTGAACACACTGAAAATGCACACCTTGTTAGTCCAGAGAGCTTTGATTTGCTGGACAAGCTGCTAAGATATGATATCCAGGTACACCAGCTTAATGGGGCAGGGGCGTGGAAGGGGGAGTAGCAAGGGGTGTAGCCAGGAGGGCCAAGGGTGCCCCGCTCCCCTTCCTCATACTTTAGAAACCAAAGCATTTATGTAGTCACATGATTAGTTCGACTTTCTGATGTTCTGAAAATGGGTTTGGTTCCCCCCAAGGCAAAATCCTGGCTACACCCCTGTGGGCCTTTTCGCATGAGCATAATGTTTTCCCATTTCAGACCATTTGTCATTCCATTGAGAAAGAAATTATTTTTTGTAGCAACTTCTATATTTATTATATTCATGTGGCAGTCCTCTCAGGCACAACTATTAAACAAAGAAATTGTACTAAAGAGATTGGTAGACAAAAAATGATACTCAAGAGAATGACAGGTTGTCTGAAATGGGAGAACAAGGAATTGGGTCAATTCATTAAGTATGGTTCAGTAACAGATCACAAACTCATAAGCTGCTAATCCGCTAATCTCATAGGGCTGTGAATTAACCTCTGTATAACTAACTTCACATTAAAAAAGCATTCTCTGGTCCTCGGCTCTTCTTTTAGAATCGATTCTATATGCTAGCTGTATCACTTGCTTAGTCTTTGTGAATTTATTCTTTGTATGACCACCCTGCATTGCAAAATATACACGCAGCCTCAATTTTCTAAAATATCAATTTATTTCTTCATGACTCCACCCCAAGGTTAGAGCACAACTCTATATTTGGGGGCTTTAAAGTTGTGAGGGATGTTGATGATGACTTAACCATAGTGTATTCACCTATCGCCTTCAGCATAACATGCAAGTAGAGTTTGTTAGGTCTTTCTTATACTCTGGGCTTTCCAGTACCCCAACCCTCAAATTTGTTCAGTTAAACTTGGACTGTGAGTTAAATAAAGAATCAAGAATGGTGTAGTGAAAGTGCATTTGTCTCGAGTTTGTTAGGTCTCTCCCTTGATTCCAAGGATAACCCAGAGGTTGTTTCAGGGTTTGATCTGTGAGTTAGTTGTGCCCTGACTTAGATCAGCCCAGAGGTTGTTTCAGGGTTCAATAAGATTTGAAGTAACCTGGAGTTCTTTTCGGAGCACTTGTGTTTTAAGTATTGAATGGTTTGCACTGCTGTCGACTAAGACCATCTCTAACTTTTGATTTGATATAGAGCTGACTTAGATCAGCTCAGAGGTTGTTTTAGGGTTCAATCTATGAGTTAGCCGTGCCCAGACTTTGATCAGCTTAAAGGTTGTTTCAGGATTAGATCTGTGAGTTAGCCGTGTCCAAATGTTGTTTCAGGGTTCAATAAGATTTGAAGTAACCTGGAGGTCTTTTCGGAGCACTTGTGTTTTAAGTATTGAATGGCTTGCACTCCTGTCGACTAAGACCATCTCTACTTTTGATTTTATATATTTCATTATTGGTTGTGTGTCTGGACTTCCATGCTTGACATTTCTTCTTGTTGTTATCCCTTCCAGGAACGTCTAACTGCTAGAGAAGCAATGGAACACCCATACTTTTGTAAGTAATTGTACGCTGCAAAGGACTTTAACCTTGCAAACGTCTTTAGAATATTATGAATATACTAAAGATTTTTTGAGATAGCGACCATAGTGCATTGTGGTCTAGCTTRGGTACAAACATCTTACGTTTATCATGTCTTGGTCATGTATTTGTACCTTAACTAGATCAGAATGCCGCATCCTGTTTATCGAACTCACAAAAGGCCTCTATTCCCAACCTTGTTATGGTATCACTATTAGTACTCAAGCTATACCACAATGCATGAGGCCTATCAGACTTAGGAAAGAACTAATCGTTATTATTATATTATTTGGGATGAAGTTGATCACATGATCGTTCAGTATTTTTCATTGTTATGCATCATTGCTAAGCCTGCAAGAAAGAAATCTCTGGGACCAGGTTAGGCTAGCTCTGAGTAAATGAATCCTGTAATAGATCTCCTCTGCTTGGGCGTAATGTTTTCCCATTTTAGACCACGTGTCATTCCCTTGAGAATAAGATTCTTCGTTTGAGTTGCATTTATATTCATGTGTCTTCTCATGTGCAATCGAGCGCAACCGTTAAACAAAGAAATGATTCTCTAGGAAATGACACGTGGTCTGAAATGGGAAACTTTACGCCTGGGAGGGCCAGAGCCAAGGAGGTCTGTAACAATCGGTACTTTTCGAATCCGAAAACAGTCTTCACTGATAAGAAATGTTTTTACTCTGCAGATCCAGTCGTCAGACAAGAACAACAGAGACTGGCCTCAGGTCAGGCAGCCAGCCCGATGAACTCTCAAACCCTGGCAGGGAATACATCCCAACCAATCGGCTCACCACTACCACCCTCATCCATTTCACCCTTACCCAATTCAACCCCCACTTAACAGATATACTACTCAAGAAAATCAGTAATTATTATTGCAAGAGTTTTGTGAGGATCGATTTTAGCCATTGAGCACAGTTGAGGTTATGTAGGGTGTTTTAGGTGCATATATACACTGGACATGTAAATCTGCAATCTACTTGTGTTATAGCAGCGATCAATAGACCTCTTCGGCTTGGGGTAATGTTTTCCCATTTCAGACCACGTGTCAGTCCCTTGAGAATAGGATTCTTTGTTTGAGTTGTATCCATATTCATGTGTCTTCTCATGTGCAACCGAGCGCAAACAAAGAAATGATACTCTAGGGAATGACATGTGGTCGAATGACATGTGGTCTGAAATGGGAAAACATTACGTCAGAGCCGAAGAGGTCTATTCAGCTGCAGTTCCAAAATAATAAACTCTTCTGTTGAGTTTTGTGGTATTTTGCTTCAGAAACTATGAAGCAATGATTCCAAAGTTAAGTTCGAGTTACCATAGTCCCAGAGGTCTCAGAATAGTATTGAAGTGTTCATGTAGAAAACCTTTGGCACCATGGTGCAAATATGACTTGCAAACAGATGTGAGAGAAAAAAGTCAGACTTACCATGGATGTGTTTTATAGAATAACCTTTGGCACCATGGTGCAAATATGACATGCGAACAGATGTACAAGAAAACATTAGGGTTGAGTCGTTCAGACCTTGATGATCAGGGTTTGAATATTTAAATTATACTCGTTGACAGAACACTATCGATGTCTTTATTGGTATATATCTACACCTGACTCGTCCCCAATCGTCTCTTATTTTAAGAGCGCGCGCAAAGGGTCAAGGAAAGAGGGTAAAGAAGAGAGACGTCTCTTTCTTATCCTACTTGCAGGCATCCCAGACCTCCTATATATCCTATATTTCCTATAATTTGTATAGGATCCTATAAAGAGCCTATATTTAAAGAAAACCTCCTATATTTCCTATAAATAGGACGACTGCTGATTGATACATTTATATTTTACACTGTTTAGTATATTTGGTGAAGGAAATAAAATGGCCCTTTTTTTTTCTTGGTTCTGTTTTTTTTATGGCTTTTTAGTTCTGCAAATCATTGCCTGTGCACCCTCCCGATCCCTGGTTACGCCACCGAAAAGCTATCTTAGCTCCTATAAAGTGCATATATTTTTGGGGAAAAATCCTATATTTTCCTATATTTAGAACTTGCACAGCCTATATTTCCTATCAAATTTGCCTAAAAAGTGGCTGGGATGCCTGTACTTCCCTTGACCCTTTGCGCGCTATGGTTTCTTTACGTCCTCAGTGGTTCTTCTACGTCCCTCCGATATTCGTTAGTAATGATGAAGTGTGGATGAAAGGGAACTAATATTTAAAGTGGTCATCCGAGACACTTGAAACTAACCATTTGCAAAATGTTGGTCCAGCCGGGACTCGGACTAAGACAAGACCTCACATGAAATTCCGATGCTCGGCCAACATCGCCAACCGGTTGGCGGTTGGGAGATAAAAAAAACTTTGAAATCCGGGGTATTCACAAAGAAATGAAAGGGGAAAACTCGAAGAGACAACTACATCGAGAAAAAAATGAGGAATTGAAAGCCGTTTGAAAATTGTTTGCCGTGAATGTAAATCTAAAACTCTATAAATGTCATGGGCACACATTGATTGAAGTCCACCAAAATCCTATTTTGTCGCGAGCGAGCACTGAAACCTCTTTGAATTTTGATTAATACGCGTCGTGGTTTCCTACGCCGTCTCGTGTTCTCAACCCGCGTGTTTTGATCAGAGTATCAAACACGTAAAACTGTGTTTTGATCTGTTTTATAAAATAACAAACACGCCAAAAACGGAAAAAAGTATCGTATTATTCTGATGTATTTGTAAAGGATGACGCGAGCGTGTTTTGATACCCTCATCAAACATAGTTTTTGACCAATCGTAGCGCGCGTACTATTCCAATTATTTTACAATTGTAAAAGATGAGACTCAAACTATTAATGAAGGTTCAAATTGCTAAGGTTTTTTTTTTCAATTTATTCATCTCATTTTATCTGAATATTTATTGAATAATATTTTATCTCGTTTACGACCTACTTCATTATTTATCACCAAAAATTAATTTGGAAATCTTGTACATGTATAAAACGTGTATGAAGCGATTAATTATAAATAAATAATAATYATTTTATACCTTTTTAAATTCGGCATTAAATATCCCCATATATTGTTATTATAAAAAAGACTTATAAAATGTTTAAAAATTAAGTTATTATAATTTTGAGACGTGTATAAGTTTTCTCGGATAACAAATCATAAAAATTTCGGATTAGAAACGATTTCCAAATGGAATTATTCTTATCTATAGTTTTTGAACGAATAGTGCAGCATTCAAGCGCTATAATATTTTCAAGAGAATCAGACGAAATTATTTTCAAATTCTTACAGTCATATATATATATTTTTGTAATATTACTTCCCGTAAGGGAATAGTGGTTCAAATCTTTTCGGTGAAAAGAGAATTTAAACTAGCCCAAAAATAGCTCGAGCGGGGTCGACGATTTTTCCCCCAATTTATTATTCAGTAGATTTAACGCTTTGATCTCGAATACCGACCCATTTCTGCAGGTTTATCAAATCGTTTGCAACCGTTCAAACGTGTTTAAATGACTTTATATGGAATCAAAAACAGGTTTGTATTGAACAAGAAAGAGGCCTATTGTAGCCAATACTTTAACAACATTTCAACCTCTGTCGCAGCAATACCGACTGTGATATTCAATTTTTAGTAAGAAATCCTTTTTGAAGTTAATCGAATCAGCTGCTGTACTTCTCCCGATCTAACTGAAATGGGGCACGCAAAGCATCATGGTAACTAAGTGAAAGACATGGCCGCTATGTTGGATGACATGACAAAATAAAACCAATACCAAATCTTTTTGTTCAAGTCAACCAACATGGCGGGTATGACGTCAAATGAAAAAGGACAATCACGTCCGCCATATTTTACATTACAAAAAAAAACTTGAAGTGTTTCCTTGGTAACATCATGTCCCGATCAGCTGATGTTTTGGCTCATTCATTTCGAAACCTGACTCCCACGGCATCTCGACGTTGTCGTCCCACTTGTCTGTCGAGATATAAAACGAGTATTAAACGAGCATTAAACGAGTACTAAACGAGTACTAAACGAGTATTAATCGAGTATTAAACGAGTACTAAACGAGTATTAAACGAGTATTAAACGAGTATTAAACGAATATTAAACGAGTACTAAACGAGTTTTAAGCGAGTATTAATCAATGATTAATTGTAAAGAGAGAAACGCGCGCGCGTGCTGTGTGCAGGAACATGGCTCAGAATTTGGTTTTGGTTACAAGCATGAAAATTGGCACAACGATAGAAGACCACGCGTTGGCTATATTGTTAAAGTGCAAATGAACCCTTTGACAATACATTCAGTACTGGTTCTGCATAAAGTAAATAGTTGATTGGTAAAATATTTCTTGAATTGAGTGATGCGTCTCTAAGTCTTCCAATATGTTAATGATGATGACGTCAGGTAAGGTATTTGAGTGTTATTGTTGTAACTAGTATTACTAAATGCTGGCCATTTTTCTCAATTTTTTCCCCTGTAGAATACTACATTAGACATTGGTTGGAATAAGAGTGTATTGTTACTATTACTATAATTATTAAAAGCAGCTTACACACGGTGTTAGTAGGAGAAGGATGGTTAGAGAGAAGTTGCCATTTGTAAAAGATCGGTACCATGACCTAAAACACGATAAGATGAATCAGTTAGACAAGATTAGCTTTAGTAGTTTCACGTTTCGATCTGTGTGTTAGCCTTGATCAGCCCAGAGGTTGTTTCAGGCTTCAATCTGTGTGTTAGCCATACCCTGACTTAGATCAGCCCAGAGGTTGTTTCAGGGTTCAATCTGCCAGTTAATTAGCCATGCCCTGACTTATATCTGACTTATATTGTTTCCGGGTTCTATCTGTGAGTTAGCCGTGCCCTGACTTAGATCAGCCCAGAGGTTGTTTCAGGGTTCGATCTGTCAGTTAGCCGTGCCCTGACTTAGATCAGCCCAGAGGTTGTTTCAGGGTTTGATCTGTGAGTTAGCCGTGTTAGTAATGCTATAGACCCCTTGCATCGCTCTGGAATGCAACTAGGGGACAAAACGAGAGATTGGAATTCTTTTGTTTTGTCCCCCAGATCGAGCTGCTTTGACGTGACATGCAAGGGGTCTACATAATACACTTTCCACCTAATGTTTTATCGATACAGACCATGTGTCAATCCCTTGAGTATCATTACTTTGTTTAACGGTTGCACATGAAAAAACACATGAATATGGCTACGACTCAAACAAAGAATTTTAGTCTCACGGGAGAGTAAAACACGTGGTCTGAAATCATTTTGTCAGTCAATCCGAGTGCTAAATAAACACTCCTCTGCTGTCATTCGTATTTGATGCTGATAGTCCCCTTCACAGCTCTCTACGCCATCTTGAAAGGTAGCTGTGCCTTTGCATCGAAGCACGAAGAACGGCGAGCTTGCAATGATAGAGACCTTTTTTAATACCTTGGACAATTATTCATATATATCTATCATTGCAAGCTCACCGTTCGTCTGTACCCTCGATGTAGAGGCACGGCTACCTTTCAAGATGGCTCAGGGAACTGTGAAGGGGACTACTGATCTAACCTGAATCTCTAACATCATTTTGGTGAGATCTACGGAAGTGCTTGGCAGCACGTAAGGTAAGGATAATGATCAAATAAGAGAAGAGTGCACAGAGCCCAAAACCAATCCACGATGCGTTCTGTTGGCCGTAATAAAGCAACAGTAAGAAAACCTAAGCTACTGGGACCAATTCCTAGACATTAAGAAACAATGCCACAACGATGGTCTAAAGAAGGGACACAATGTTAATGAGGTAAGTTGTTGGACTTACATTACGTGACACGGTACGGCGATACCGTAAAGTGGTTATGGTATAAGTGGCAAACATAAGGTACTGACTTACAGCACGTACACCGTACAACATGCCGTAGAGCAGGGTTTCTTAGTGATGGTATAACGACAGCTACACAGCTCGTATACAGTACAGCTTGCCGTAACATTGAAATGGCTTCTCATTGTCTTGCTGTAATTAATCCAAGCACAACGCGTAATTACGGCTTCGTACTGTTTCCTACTATTAAGAATACTGCTCTAAAAAAGTTCCGTTGCGGAATACTTACAAGGTTTCCAAAGTAGTCTGAACAAACATTGGATGTGATTGAAGAGTACATGTTATGGACGGGCCTACAGCGACCTACATCAAAACGGACCTGTATATGTAATAAGTAAAACGTTAATGAATGGTACACGTCATGGATGGGCCTACAGCGACCTACATCATAACGGACCTGTATATGT